CGTGACGATACATTGATGTGTAAAGACATGAAACGATCGGTCTGTGCAAGAAACTGAACAGTATTTATATAGTCTCATAGAGTGTCAATGGTCCATTTGAGAGATAGGTGGTGGTAACGCACTTATAAGTCTGCGATCCGCCATAAAGCAAGAAGAAGACGCGCCACGTGCTGGCTGTCGAGGACGCCCTCAGATACATCTTGGATGCCCTGGGGGTAAGAAGATAAACATCAAATTTTCATTTTTGGGTGAACTATCCCTTTAAAAAACTTGCATGGAAATAAAAATATTGACTTTCACAACTGACTGAAATAAAACAGGTTAGGCTGAAGCACTAAAATTACAAAAACTGAAATAAAAAAAACTAAAATGTAAATAAAATTATTAAAACAAAATAATAAAAATTACGAAAGAACATGATAAAATTGCTAAAACTTAAACTAAAGTTGAAATAAAAAATGAAAAATACTAGAAAGATAATTCAAAATATTAAATTTTACAAAAGTAGATAAATATTACTAAAATAACATGACAGCCAGTTTGACCTCAGATTATATTACAACTTTATTACATTACAACTTGTAATTATATAAAACAAAAAACCTGTTTTTTCAAATCAGAAGTCTTGTTTTTGTGGGAATTAACTACTTATTTTATAAAGCATTGCAAATGACGTAATTAAATTAAAAAATGTGTGCAAAATTGACTTGTTTTAAGTATAAAATACAAAATACTTAAATACAAACGTTATTTTGCATGTTAAAATTTACATATGCAAATGTACAAACATCAAATATATGCAAATAAATACATGAATACTGTATATACAAAATGTTGAATATTTATATATTTTAATATATTAAACTGTATATATGGTGCAATTTCTGTTCCCAATGACTTTGTTTACATCTAGGATTTGTTTTTGGTAATGCACTCACAAGTGGTCAGCGCTAAATACAGGTGAAAACATGGCCCAAAAAGTTGTTATTATTTACTGAATCCACACGTCATGATAGCCTGATTGCATTGCATCATATTTGTGGTTTAAACATCAAGTTACTCTGTCCTGTTGTATCCAGGATAGCAGGGTTGAATCACTGTGCTTAGGAGAGCTTTTCAACGTAGCCACTTTAAATAAAAATACTGCTTGACATCATTCAATTATTGCTATTCTTTTTGTGAGTTATTGACATGAACGTTTGTTTGATTGGACAGCAAGTAACCCCTGTGGCACCGATCGAGGAGGCTGTGAACACATCTGTGTTCTGAGTCACAGAACTGATAACGGCGGTCTGGGATATCGCTGCCGCTGCCGGATGGGTTTCGATCTGCATGCTGACGGCAAGAGATGCATGTGTAAGACAGATCTCAGTCATACCTTGTGTCTTTGGTTACTATTGCATCTTGGCATCTTATGCTTTTTAAGCAGGTCGTATCATGAAAAAACATCCTTTTGAGATGCAACAGCTTGATTTTTTAAGAAATATGCAATATGTGTCTTGCAGCTGTGAGGCAGTTTCTACTGTTCTCCAGTCAGCTGGCGGTCAGAGGAATCCCCTTCAACCTGTCCACGCAGGAAGACATCATTCTCCCCATCACAGGAACTCCATCTTATTTCGTTGGAGTGGACTTCAGTGCTGCGGACAATTCGATTTTCTTCTCTGATACGGGGAAGGACATCATCTACAAACAGAAAGTTGATGGAACCGGTGAGAATGGCGGTTTTTTTATATGCATATATCAGTAAAGCTGCTGTAAGCTTCTTCCAGACATGCAGTATATGCATTTTATACATTTGTAAATGTATGCATGTCATCTTTTTATGTAAAAATATATAAATTGAATCAATTAATTCAATCAGTCAGAATACTATAGCCTGTTACCAATAAAATATGATCAACATCATCAAGAGCCATCGTTGCATTGCCAAGGTGGCACAGAAGCTGGATCTGACATGGCATGTTTATTTACACAGACTGTTTAACGCTGCTCAGAGGTGGCATACATACATGTATTTTAAACAAAGTTATGGCATTAGTGTAATTTTTTTTTGAGCTTGAGAATTTAAAGAGGTGGACAAGCATGCGATCAGAATAAACAAACGATATCGTCCGCTGGTGTGGACGCTAATATAGTATTCTTTATACAGTAGTTATCGTTCTTGGTGTAAACGGGCCTTAATGCTAAACACTGCATAAAACAATGCATGAAAAGAAATGTTTGGTGCATCGTTAGAAGATTGAAATGCAATACCATAATCAACACTTTTTTATTCATTCTTACATTTCACTTATTCGTTTCGTTTATTAATTTTTATATTTCAACCACAACAGTTATAAACAAGTTGCTTTGCTCCTCCGACAAAAGCCTTAGCCTGCCTCCACCAGGTGGTCGTCTTTGTGTCCTACAAAAATAGAAGCACTCATTACTGTAACTGTCACACATCCTTTTTACAGGAAAAAATGGAAACATACTGAAACTCTATCTGTATGCGAGGCAATTTGATGCATTTCTTTATTACAGTAGCATAGTGCAACAGTGTATGCACTCTAAAGTTACTGTACAGAGCAGTCTTACTGTAAGTACACCTACCTGTTTTCCTCCCTGAAGGTTCTGATGATGGAGGCGACGGTGAAGCGACTCAAATTTGGCTGTACTCGTTGCCCAGCCTCCCTCATAGTCATACCATGGACAAGGACATGGTCAACTAAAGTGGCTCGAATTTCATCTGAGACTGCTTGTCTCCTTGCCCTTCTTCTCCCTCCTCCTCCTCCTTCACCACGTCCTCCTCTCCCTCCTCCTTCACTACATCCTCCTCCTCTCCCTCCTTCACCACGTCCTCCTCCTCCTCCTCCTCCTCTTCCTCTTCCTCTTCCTCTTCGACCTATTCCTTCATTTCTCTGTGGATCCATTGTTCCGAAGCTCAGTGAACTGATTCGGGCCCTTTTATCTATTTATTGAAGGATCTGATTGATGTGTGTTAAATTTTGACTCTTAGTGTTTCCACCTGGGTAATTGTTTGCTAATTGAGCTCAAGCTGTGCTGACTTGAGTGATCAGTATTGAATGCTAGTGCTTTCTAAATGACCACATGGTGTAAGCACTGAGAAATGTAGGGATTTGTGTGTAGAGTTTTGCAGTAACAGTTCACCAAATCTGACTCATGTGTTAAAGCAGGGGAATAGTGTTTATAGTTCAGCAAAATGGGTGTGCTTTTTGAAAAATGGCGTTATGGTTTTGAAATTTTTGTTCAAAAGCCTGGTTATAGTGTTTTAGCAATCGAGAAAAACTGTAAAGCAGTGTATGTCTTTGTGCTCGGCAGTTATATTTTCTGGACTGACTGGTACCGTCCTGCGAAGATTATGCGGGCCTGGGGTGACGGGTCACATGCTCAGTCGATTGTAAACACCACTCTTGGCTGGCCGAATGGCTTGGCCATTGACTGGAGGCGAGTAACAGTTCCCAGAATGAAACTACAACAATACGGCATTCAGTTGTGCTCATAATACTACAAACAATGATCCATTTCTGTTTCATTCATAAACCTTCCTCTCTTTGCTTTAACTTCTATGGCTTCCTGAAGCCGTGATTCATCATTATTTGTTTTGTTGCACATTCAATAGCACACTCACTCCTAATCTCCTTAAATCATGATCTGACATAATCCTGTTTCTCAGCATTGGTCTAAAACTCTCTCTTGATCATGTCTCTGCCTCTCAGTGCCATGCGGCTGTATTGGGTGGACGCTTTCTTTGATAAGATCGAGCACAGCAACTTTGACGGACAAAACAGGTTGTCTTTGGATCGCATCACTCAGATCTCCCATCCGTTTGGACTTACTGTCTTTGGAGGTGCGTTTATCTATCTATCTATCTATCTATCTATATCGTTCTATCGTTCTATCGTTCTATCTATCTATCTATCGTTCTGTTGTTCTATCATTCTATTGTTCTATTGTTCTATCGTTCTATCGTTCTATCGTTCTATTGTTCTATCGTTCCATCGTTCTATTGTTCTGTCTATCATCCTGTCCATCTGTCGTTCTGTTGTTGTGACTATCTATTTATCTATCTATCTATCTATCTATCTATCTATCTATCTATCTATCTATCTATCTATCTATCTATCTATCTATCTATCTATCTATCTATCTATCTATCTATCTATCTATCTATCTATCTATCTATCTATCTATCTATCTATCTATCTATCTATCTATCTATCTATCTATCTATCTATCTATCTATCTATCTATCTATCTATCTATCTATCTATCTATCTATCTATCTATCTATCTATCTATCTATCTATCTATCTATCTATCTATCTATCTATCTATCTATCTATCTATCTATCTATCTATCTATCTATCTATCTATCTATCTATCTATCTATCGCTCTATCTATCGTTCTATCGTTCTATCTATCTATCGTTCTATCTATCTATCTATCGCTCTATCTATCGTTCTATCATTCTATCTATCGTTCTATCTATAGTTCTATCTATCTACCGTTCTATGTCGTTCTATCTATCTATCTATCTATCTATCTATCTATCTATCTATCTATCTATCTATCTGT